ACAGGGTCCCTGGTGAGGGTATCAAGGATGTGCCATCACTTCCAAGCGGCCCAGAGCTCACTTGCTGAGCCTCCCCGCCGGTCCATGAAGCAGAGAGTGCCTGGTGCAGCCTGGAGCGCACGCTGTGAGGTGCCATGAGCCATGCTGCCCGCAGGCAGGATAGCTCAGGGCTGGCTGCCAGCGCCACGTCCCGCACAGCACTGCCCAGTCGCGTGCACGCGGCACAACAGACCCCCCTTCCAGAGACCTCAGCACTGCCGGACGGCTCAAAGCCAGCCCCCACCTCGCCCAGCGGGGGAAGATGACCAGACGGAGACGCTGTGCTGGAAACCATGAAACAAGCAGCTGATGTGACCCCAGCCGAGACCACAACCAGAGCGGAACTACACCACGTACACCTCCGCCACCTGGCAGTGCCCTGGAGTCTCTCCCCACTGTCCAGAGGCAACAGGGTCACAGCCGGGGTCACCGGGTGGGTGGGAGTCCCAGTCACAGGCAGCTGCTGCTGACATCAGTGATGCAAGTCTGGAGCCTGACGAACTGGGGCTGGGAACCGAAAAGCTTCAGGGCCACTCCTTCTGCTTCTGGGGACTTACTTCCGGCCTCGCTTGCGGCTGGTTTTCGGGAATTCAGCTCTCTGTGTCGCTTGGGGATCCCCCTCCTCGCTACTCACGCTCTCGTCCTCCCGCTGTGGGCGACCTCTCTTACTTCTCCTCGTGTTTTCAACCCCAGCAACTGGCAGCTTCTTGGCAGCCGGGGGCCCAGTTCTCTTCTTCTTGCTCCGGGTCAAAGGACGTTTCTTCCGCTGCTTCCTCTGCTCTTCCCTTTGGCGGATCTTCATCAGCTTCTCAAAGCTTTTGGTGGTGGCTGTGTTCACGTCAAACCAGTCCTGGAGGGTTCAGAAGGCAACAGGTTGGTACTGGTGGTGGAGACACCTGATAAAGCTGATCAGGGCTTTTAACAACGCCGCCCTGGGGGGAGCAGGGGTTGGTGAAACGCAGGCCCTGGGACGGCCGCTGCCCAGCGAAGCTCTGATCTTCCTCAAGGGTCACTGTCTCAGGGACTCGGGTCTGATTTGGCAACTGCCTGGCTGAAGGCAGGGGAGATGCCGAACCGAGCAGCGGCCTGGGACAGACACGGACACAGCCCAACACCGGCCACCCAAACCACCCCCAACTAAGCAGCACGTCAAAGGCCGCTCCAGTCCGGGACCCTGTTCCCAGCAGGGAAGGCAAAACCTATCCAAGGCAAGCATCCAGCATTTCCCTCCCAACACACCCACCTCCCACGGCCCAGGGCTCGAGCACGGTGTCCTGCCCGCCTCACCTCAGCATGCACAGAGTTGATGTGGTACTTGACCCCACTCTCGGAAATGAATTCCTTTTCACACAGGAGACACTTGTATTTACCTGCCACGAAGTCCCCCTGGCACCGAAACAAAGAGCATCCATCACCTGCTGCTGCCCAGACACACGGAGGTACCGCACAGAGCCTGGCGCGAGGGACCCGGCAGCGGGAAGCAGAGTCTTCCTCATTCCAGACAACGCCTCAGGCACAGGAGCACTGACGTGCCCACAGCCCACCGCCCTGCTCTGGGAGGTGTTTGGTACCGGGAGAACGCTCCTGCAGCCACGGCTCCAGGCAGCACCGCAGCTTCACTACGCCACGTGCCGCTCTGCCGCGTGCCACCGCGCCGCTGCCGCCTCGCCTGGGCAGCGTTTGCAATGGCAACGCCACCAGCACATGGGAACGCTCAGGTGGGGAGCAAGAGGGAGCAGTGGATGGCAGGACACTTGGACAGGGGAAATCTGAGGGACGGGGAAATCTGAGGGACGGGGGATGCCTGAGGGACGGGTGAAATCTGAGGGACGGGGATATCTGAGGGACGGGGGAAATCTGAGGGACAGGCGAAATCTGAGGGACAGGGGCTGGCGGGCTATTGCTACTAAAGGGTGAGTACAGTGAGCTACCAACCAGGGTGCAGGTGCCGAGGTGAGCCTTGAGTCCTGAGACGCTGCCGTATACAGACTCGCACCCCTGAAAGAGCACAACAGCGCATCAGCAGAACGGCAGTGAGACCGCTCCCCCTGCACCAGGCAGGCACGACAGTTCCAAAAGGTGTCAGAGGTAGAGAGAGCCCGAGGCCTGCGAAGCTGGAGCATGAGGTAGAAAGGCCGTGAGGAGAAGGTTTGGGTGAGTTACATGTTTCCAGCTCCTGGGCATGCGGAGGCGTTGCAGCCACCGTCCCCTTGTCAAGAGCCGCGCTTGGCACTTTGCCTGTGGCAGAGAGCGATGTGGCGCGAGGCACAGTGACAACGACACGACACTTCATGATTCCTGCCCGGCTCGTGTCCGGCATCCCAGGGCACGAGCGCTGCTGCCACCATCAGTGGCCCCCACTAGCCGGCAGCTTCGCAGGCCCTGCCCGTGGGCGGCTTCACGAATCTCTCCTGGGATATTGGGTCACGCTCAGCCCACAGCGCAGACCCTGGAACAGGAGGTGGTGCGGGATGCTGCTCCCTCCTGCATCAGGGAGCCGGGGCAGCTGCCTTCTGCCCACAGCCCCTTACCCCATAGCCAGCCAGGGAGGGGCTGGGTGGGCAGGGAAGGGGCTGGCACCGTCTGCCCCAAACCCACTGACCCTGGCTGTCCAGCACCACGTGTCTGTGGTACTCTACGCTGCCTACGGCAGTTTCCACCAGCGGGGCAATTTCCTCCCTGGATCTGGCAGGTGACTGCGCGCAGGACTGCGGGAAGCCCAGTGCATGCGCATCCCCAGGGCGGGAGACATGCACGAGTCCCATAGCCCATCTCCAGCTCTCAGAAGGAAGCTGAAGTGCTGTGCCAAAGTCCCTCTGCTCCCACCCCGCTCTCTCCACTCCCCCTTCTTCCATAAGCAGACGTACCGCCCCTGCCAGGCAGGGCCCATCACCTTCTCACTGCTCAGGTGCCCAACAGCCCTGCTCCCGGCTAGATGCCAAAGCTGAGCCAGGCTGACACCAGAGTACTGAAGTGCCCAACCACGTCCCCGAAGGGATCGTCCCAGGGCAACAGTCCCACCAGGGCCCCAGTTACCCGAGCCCGCCATACCGAGCTGGAGCAGCATTTGCCTCCCAGAGAGAACAGCAGCTCTGGGGTCATGGAAAGCTGCTGGCTCATACCGACCCGAAATCTGCCCCCATCTGAGGCTGCAGAACGCTCCAGGGTTACCTGGTTTGGGCAGTGGACTCTCCGGTACATCTTTATCTCTGTCTTCCACTTGCAGAGCACATCTTGGCTGAATGTGGGCAGCCCCGGCCGAGTGTATTTCAGCTGAGAGAGAGAACCGAAGGCTGGGAGCAACGCCGACCCCACGCAGTGCCGGTATGTCCCTTCCTCTCCCTGGCTGTGAGACTGAGGTGCCTCTTCTCCCACTGACAGCCAAGCTCCCCATCACCAACCTTCTCCCACCGCACTGAATCTGGGAACCCTCCTCGAACCAGATCCAAAACTTCCCAAAACTGAGCACAGCAGCTCTCCTGCATGTCCTTACCCCAGTAAAAACACACATCATCCCTTCCGCTTGGGATTCCCTCAGAGCCTGAAAGGTGCTCCCAGGAACTCCGTAGCCGGGCATGCGATGACACATCACTGCCTGGCAGCAGCGGGCTGCAGCCATGGCTTGTGAGCAACAAGCTGCCGTAACTCCCTCCGTGCTCGTGCCCACGGGCAATCACAGCGACAGGACGCGCAAGTCGCTGCAGGCTGATGGACAAAGCACTCGGCACAGCAGCTGCCACCGGGGCAACGCTGCAGTGACACCAGAGAGCAAACCTCATCCCTCCCACAAGACACTGCCTCTTCCGAACTGCCCCCCCGGGTGCCTGAACACCAGGAGTGCGGGGCAGACACCACGCAAGAGTCCTCTCATGTGAAGACAGACTCCAAGGCCATTTGGAGGCCTTGTACCTTCCGGTCATCGGGAATCAGGTCCTGCAGAACTTTTCTCTTGGGCCACTCCTTGGCCAGCTCTTCTCCAGCCAGCTCATGCAGATAGTAGGCTGCCACCTTGGCAGACCTCCTCTGAACTCTGCCCACGTGACCGGGCTCCCGCTTGGCCTCCTTCAGGCACTCTGTTCTCCTCTCCTCGTGGAGGAAAGCGACCTGCAACGATGCCAAACTGGTGACCCTCCTGCACACGCTCCTGTTTCAGTTATACGAGCGAGTACACATTCTGCCAAATCCCCCCCCAAAACGCCGCTGCAGCTGTGGCTCCCTGTCAGCTGGGACAGAACTGCGCCCCCGCGAGACACAGCCCAGCTCTGCTCGGGCTCACAGCACAAGGCTCATGCAGAGTTTCGAGCAGCCACTGGTTGCAACCCGCTCTCGCATCACTGGCTGTCCACCCCACGGACAAGACGGTCCTGCCTGTCCTGCTCCAGTGCCCTGTCCCCCAGGACCAAGGAAAAGCATCTCACAAGCGACATGTGGTCGCATCTTTCTGCCAAAGTCAGGCTGGGGAAAGGCTACTGTTGCCATGGCGATTCGGTACTTAAACTTCATCCCAGTCACAGAACAGCAACAGCAGCTGCTGTGGGGAAGCAGTGAGGACAGAATTCTCCAGAGACAGAAAAATCAGAGGTTTGCTGCCCCCGACCCCCCCAGCAGCAGGGAAAGGCCCACGTGCACTCCAAGTCCCAACGGCTGAAATACCAGCCCCCTGCCCAGTAACTATGGCAACTGGCACTTACCGGCCCGTGCTTGGACCGGAGATGGTAGACGAGCCCAGCCTTGGATCTGTATGCTTTCCCACAGTGGTGGCACTTCATGGCCATTTTCTCCAGCTCCGATGCAGCCTTCCCACACTTTCTAACGTGGTACAGGTACCCCATGATGCTGGTGAAGCTGCCGGTGCAGCCCTGTCAACGCAGAAGGGAAACGCATGAAGACCCGCTCGGCCAAGGACCGCAAGCTCTGAGCGCAGAACCCAGGTCAGTGACAGCGGGACCGGTGCTTCTGCCAGGGCAGAGCCATCGGGTTCTGAACAACAACGCTGGGCTGCCCAGACAGAACCGGCTGCAACCGGGAGAAACTGCTCCTCAGAACTCGTGGTAGGCAGGAGGAAACTTCCATGGACGGAGCGGAGAAGCGAGGTGTTAACTGAGGGGGCCCACGGGACAGATGTTCGGATACAAAGGGAGGAGCTGTGCAGAGAAGAGGGAGGTTTTGTACCTGGTTGGCTGCTCAAACTCTCCGCAATGCAGCAATGTTGGGGCAACAGCAAGTACGACCGTCAGCTGCCCCTGGGACACAGCTCTTGGCGCCTGCTCCCCAGGACAACAGAACCTCCGTGGGTCCTGCCGATGTCACTGCAATATCTCCAAACCCCGAACCCAGCGATCAGTGTGACACTGAGCTAAGAACCAGGACAAATTAAGGAACCGGCTGGATGGGCGCACTCA